GCACCTGGGTGGCTCAGTCAGTTAAGCGTCTGACTTCGGCTCAGGTCATGATCTCACAGTTCGTGGGTTCGAGCCCCACGTCAGGCTCTGTGCTGACAGCTAGCTCAGAGTCTGGAGCCTGTTTCGGATTCTGTATCTCCCTCTCTCTCTGACCCTCCCCCGCTGTCTGTCTCTCTCAGAAATAAATAAAACATTAAAAAAAAATTTAAAAAAAAAGTGGCAGCCTTCCAGGACTGGCCCCTTAGTCTGTAGAGGGAAGTGAGTGGTATCAAGGCACATGATAATTATCTTTTTGAGAGCATGAGGGGCTGTCAAGACTTCTGTTTTAAACTTCTGTGAATGAAGTCAGAGCTGAGAAAGGGGCAGGTCTTCCTGGAGATTATGGCTCTATGTAGACTTCTCCTAAATTTTTTCTACTGGGGAAGTCATTGTATATGGAAGGTGGAGGTGCCAGGGAAGCCTGCATACCACAGAGATCTCACAAAAGGCTTGAACAGAGAGGCTGTGATGGCGAGGACTCATAGCAGAGTCATAGAGATGGTAAGATTCCTGCAGACTCAGAATGCCTGCGGAAGTTTATCCTGTTGTGATGTTCTCTACTTGACCACCGAGCTCCTTCAGAAGTGGAACTAAGGCTAGACCTATAGTCTACAATTATAACCTTGAAATTAAGACCGGAGTAAAAGAAATTTCCAAGCTCTGATATGAGTCTCTAGTCTCAGATAAATCTGCATGCTCATGGTCACAGAAATATTTTATTCTCCCACTCTCTAAATATATCTTCTCAATTATTCAAACTAAGTTATCTCAAAAAGACACCGGTTATAGGCAAACTATGAGTGTCAGATTTATCTCCTACAGAAAAAGAAGCAAACTGTTACATTGATTGGTGATTCTTCTTTACTGGGCGGTTCTTGACATGAAAATGACCTAGAGAGGCAACATAGAGAAGGAAAAAGAAAAAAAAAAAAAACCCTGACCAATATGGGTATTGATCGTTCCATATACATTTTTTATTAATTTTTTCCAACAGCCAGATGAAGTGGTTATTTCATACTCATTACAAAGATGAAGAAATAGATTATCAGAGATGTTTGAAAATTTCCCCAAGGAGATGTCAGAAAAGCAACAGAGCTGAGATTAAAATCTGGAGCTATCTGACCTGAAAGCACTTACTCTTTTAACCACATGAGGACCAAGAATACTGGCTAAACCAGCTGGTGCTCCTTTCCCAAATAACCAAGCAATCAACTCACAGTTAACAGATTATTTACCCTGGGCAGAGTTCTGTGCTGGGACTGAGGGGAAACCCAGAGACAAATAAAGCACAGTCCCTAACCTGTTTGGCAAGATAACCTGTTTGCACAGAGATGCAAAAAGTTAAATAACCCCAGAGGGCAAGAAGGTGACCATTGTCACTGCTTTAAGTATCAGAGTATCAAATTCTATGATTTCACTGTGGGCTGAAGGCCTCCCAGGGAAAAGAAGCAGGTATGATTGCATTTGCTCAAGGAAGAAAATGTCATGTACAATTAGTGTAACAACACCAATTTTTTTCTTTTGGGTCTCTTTAAAATTTTTGAAAACTTGATAATACTTCAGTACATTAATCTTTGTTGTCTTTTCAATATACCTTGTTGTTGTTTTTACAAACTTGAGTTTCCGGTGTATATATTGTTTTGCATCATCTTTTTAAAATTAAACGTAATATAAGAAATTTCCCACATCGATGGAAGTTCTTTATACACATAAGGATTCATGGCATAGGAATGAGAATGGAAAGGATCTGAGGACAGGGAAGGGACCCTCAGGCACAGGAAACAACATAATCTAGGATGAAGATTCACTTTGGACCAAGTCAGCATCCGCAAGAATTTGGTTCCAATGGTCCTTGGGATAAAGCGGATAACCAGAGGAATCAACAGAAACCACATCCCATAACCTGTGCTCTGTCAGTCCCCTGTGCAATTCAGGGCTGCCACCTAATCTGTGTCCCCTTTGCAAAGGACTGCTCTCGGGGTCAAGCCCGTGGATGCCAAAGGAGGGTCATTCAAACATCGGAGAAGGCAAAGCAGATTTGTTTACTGATCAGAAAAGCATCCACGGAAAACCGACCGAACAAGAGTTTTTCTTTACAAACCGATCCCTGACCTCAGCCTTTAGCAAGCGTTCCCACTTTCCTTGGCAAGCTTTTTACTGCTCTCAAGCCAGCTACAGCTGAGCTGGCAGGCAGCACACCCTCACTGGTGGTGCAAGCCCGGTAGCTGAGGTCAGACGTGCCATTTTAGAACGGAAGTCTGGGACATACCAACAAAGCAGCACTTTTATTGAAAACGTTGATGATTTTTACAGTGTTGTATTTGGGAAAGTGGTTGCTAGGTTAAAATTTGACACTGGAGAACACGAGCTGCAACTTGAGAACTGTGAGCTGCTTGAAAGGTCTTGCTCCTACTACAGAGCAAAATCCTTTGTGTTATATAGGGCCTCACTCTCAGCTGAGGTCGGTGGAGGGACAAGACTATTTTGGGGTGTCTTATTTTTCCATTATACAGTATTCTTTTCTTCAAACCCTGAGCATGTGCTGAATCTGACATTTCACGAATCTCGTTGGACATGATTTGGGAGATATTCTCTTGTGAAATTCTGCATTGTCGGAGTTGATGCTCTGATAATAATTCACGCGCACAAGATTCACAGCATTGTCAAAGAGAACTTTCTTTACTCAAAATCCCAAAGCTTATGTAAAATTAATAACTAAAAATTAAATTCAATTTCTACAGTTTGTTTTGTCTCGTGTTATAAATTCTAGAATACCAAATAATCCTATAAAGTTTAGAAATCGGGGCACCTTGATGGCTCAGTCAGTTGAGTGTCTGACTTCAGTTCAGGTCATGATCTCCTGGTTTGTGGATTCGAGCCCCGCATCAGGCTCTGCACTGACAGCTCAGAGCTTGGATCCTGCTTTGGATTCTGTGTTTCCCTCTCTCTCTCTCTCTCTCTCTCTGCCCTTCCCCTGTTCCGTCTCTCTCTGTCTCTCAAAAAATAAAATAAAACATTAAAAAAATTTTAAGGAAATATAATCTTATCTGTATTATTTTTGACTTGTGTTAGCATTAAAATTCTTATTAACATTTATTTGCTCCCAGAGGATATTCTGAAAGTTAACTTTTTGAGGTTGGCTGACTAAAAAGCTCCCTGTAAATATAGATTTTAACTGTCCACCCCTTGTCATAGTTTTTAAATAATTGAAATTTCTTAGTAATTGCTTTTTTATACGTAAAATTAACAGTCATCACAATTGTCATTGATTTTTGCAGAAATTTACTATTGTAACAATAAATGGATATTTATACTTCAATTGGATTCTAGAATTTTAATATGCAAAGCATGCAAGGAAACTCTCACTGCCAACTGCACCAAGAATGCTCACCTATGCTTAAATGTAAATATTCAAATGTTTATAGTATATCTGAATGACTTTGCCTTGATGAAACACTGATTAGAAACAATGGTTTATAGCATATGATTGGTGATTATGCATGAGTTTAAGGATGCAAGGGATGCTGTTGAAATAGGAATTTGACTATTTGGTCATTTCTCTAAACTTGGTCAATAAACTATGCAAATTCAAGTAGGTGTCATGGAAAGAAGTTAGTCAGAAAGTGCTTTGGAATTCTAGCTTTGCTTTAGTTTTATACATATTTATTTAGCACCTACTATGTGCTGAGAATACAGTCAAATACTATAGACAACATCAATGTGTAAGAGGGAGACCCTCGTTCTTTTTTTTTTTTAAACATTTATCTTATTTTTGAGAGACAGAGAAGGAGCAAGGGAGGGTCAGGGAGAAGACACAGAATCCAAAGCAGCCTCCAGGCTCTGAGCTGTCAGCACAGAGCCCAATGCGGGGCTCATACTCAAAGACCGTGAGATCATGACCTGAGCCAAAGTCAGATGCTCAATCGACTGAGCCACCCAGGCACTCCCTTGCTATTAATGTGCTGGTAATCTGGGGAATTTCAACGATTTTCTCAGCTGCTCTAAGCCTCTGTCTCCACCTTTTACTCTGCAACCCTCATAACGATATTAATAAAGGTTAAGTGAGATAACAAAGATGATCAGTATTTCTTGCGCCATATGCATAATATATCTGTTAATATTCTAATTGTCTGAATCATCCTAGAGGGTAGATGGGATGGCTTAATAATCATGGGGATATGCTTGAAGTCTGGTGCCTGGGCTTGAGTGCTGGTTATTGAGTGGCTTTAGGCATGCGACTTTAGATACACAACCCCTCTGCTCTTCAATCTACTATAAAATTGTGACAATTAGATTGCCTCCCTCATTGGCAATTAAATTAAATAATAGATGTATAGAATTCAGCATAGAATCTAGCACATAATAAGTATTCCACTGACCTCAACAGTTACTAAAACTCAGTACAATTTACACCTAATTAAAAAATATGAGAAGGTAGAAAGATTACCTAATTTACCCAAGGCCACCCAGTAAGTTGCAGAGATGAGACTCCTCCAGGTGGATCTGTTGCCAGAGCCCTTATTTTTTACACTTTGGGTCTCCAAAAATATTTTTATAGATGTAACTGTTGGATAAATTGGAAGGATACTTATTATGTAATCGATACTTTTAAACTTCCTTCCTGGTTGGTGTGCCCTCCAGTCCACAGTTTTCTTTGCACCCACATGGCTGTCCATCTGATTGAATCCACCAGGGATGGAGGTGGCCTGGTGACAGGCAAGGCCGCATTAGTCCTGGCCTCCAGTGGCCTCTCCTCTTGAGAGGCAGCCGCTTCTCTGCATGGAGACTGGGAACTCAGCTCCGGTGGGTAAGTCAGGCTCCAGAAGATTGTAAATGTGGATCCACTTGGTGGCCTGTGACCCCTCTGGCTTCTCCTTCTCACTGAACCAAGTCCGAGAGCTGACTCACTGTGTGTGATTTGTTTGTCTGCATGTTTTAGTTTGCCGAATTGTTCTCTTACAATGGCGGAGAGGTCACATGGATCCAGCAACTCCCAAGGAGGCCAAGAGAAAAGCAGGAGAGAGATCCTGAGGTCCACCAAGACGGCATGGGCTCGCCTAGATGAGCAACTGCTGCCCGGCTCTGAGGAGGAAAGCCAGAGTCTCCCCATCCCCATGCTGGGTGAGAACAGGCCCTCAGGGCTATCTGAAAACATCCTGCTGTGGGTGGTAAGGGACGTGGGGACTTGGCTGGGGGCAATGATTCGGAACAAACCCTTGGCTTTGAAGATACCAGTGTTCCTGGTGGGATGCCAGAAACATCTATGAAACGGGCACTTCTGACTTTCCCACAGACATTCAAAACACACACCTTCTTGATGGAAATAGACCGACTATTCCCTTTCTACTCTGAGGCCTCCTCATTTCAAGTCCCCCATGGACTTGGAGTCCATGCCAGAGACATGAGGCTTCCTTCAGAACACCGAACATTTTATTGAAAGGCTCTTATATGCCGGGTCTTGCATGAAGCATCCATAATAATTTTAGTAGTTTAAAAAGTAATAAGTAGAAAACTACTTCTCTGTCCACCGTGATGTCGTGGTTTGATGGTTTTTCTTCCTTGCCCACCTTCCCATTCATTCTACCTGTTTAGAATCCCTAAATTTAAAAATAAACATCTTCCATGCCCACCTGGCCATTTTGGATCACCAGACACCTTGTGAGTGGGTAAGTCAGGTACTTCACAGTTTGGAGGGACAAAGTCAAAGAAGATCTGGGGCATCTGGGTGGCTCAGTCAGTTAAGCGTCTGACTTCAGCTCAGGTCATGATCTCACGGTTCGTGGGTTCAAGCCCAGCCTCAGGCTCTGTGCTCACAGCTAGCTCAGAGCCTGGAGCCTGTTTCAGATTCTGTGTCCCCTTCTCTCTCTGACCCTCCCCTGCTCACACTGTCTCTCTCTCTCACTAATAAATAAAACATTAAAAAAACGTTAAAAGTCAAAGAAAATCAGCCCAGAGCAGCCTATAGCCAACCAAGAAGGAAAAAAATATTTACCAGGAAATGCTGCTTTTCCACCCTCTCCTTTTTGCCTATTGACTGTTAAGCCAGTGACAAAGATCCACCTTAAAAGGCTGGTGCCTTTTTAACATGGGTGCCTTTGGCAATCCTGGGACTCTAGTGCAATTTATCCCTGGAATGAATGCAAATTTGGTTTAGAAACTGGCAGAGAACTCCTTGCAAATAAACATCACTGGCTAGCCGCCTTAGGTAAATGTCATGATTCAATAAGGAGAGGGTCCATGGTGATCTATATCCGACAGAAGAAAGACAAAAGTCTGGTATGCTTAATCACCTTTTGTGTTCACACCAGGTAATTTAAAAATTATTCTAACATCTCTTGCACTTTGGTGATTTGGTTTTTCTTTATTTTCCTTTTCACATTTTCTTTCCTTCCTTCCCTTTCCTTTCCTTTCCTTCCCTTCCCTTTCTTCCTTCCTTCCTTCCTCCCTCCCTTCTTCCTTCCTTCCTTCCTTCCTTCCTCCCTCTTTCTTTCTTTCTTTCTTTCTTTCTTTCTTTCTTTCTTTCTTTCAATCAGTCATTGGCAAGTTTATACTTTGTTCTCAGGAAAGGCTGATTATGGAAAACAGAGAGTTTTGTCTTGGGAAAATAAATGAATATGTTTATAGAGACATGTGACTGAATATGTAAGAAATAGAGCTATGGGTAGTGGCTGGATATCAGGGTAGCATTATTTTCGTTGGGGTGCTTTGACTGACTGCTCTGTTTCTTTCTCTCTTGTAGAAGATTCCAAACAAGCAAGTATTCAGCAGTGGCTGGACTCTGGATTCTTGTAAGTGTTTCTTCGTGCCCTACACATTTCTCTTGCAAAGATCCTTGAAAACCATGTGGGTAACTCTGCTGGGGGAAGGTGTGACAGGTAGAGATTTTCATTTTAACTGGGTGCCTGAAGGATCACTCCATTATTACCAAAGTTATATATCAATTTTAAAGTACACAGTAGAATACTGTTCCAGTCCCTGGCTGTTGATTGCTTTTAAAAAGCTCTCCCATAATAAAGCCTGGCTTCACATTTACTCTCATCGGTTTAATTAAATTGCAATTTAGCATAATTGAGTTGTACACATTGTTTGACTCGCTATATTTTTGTTTCCTTATAGGGGCTCCATAAATGAAAACTTTCAGCAAGCCATCGACCATACTGGTAAGACAAGAGAACCAGAAGCAGTTAAGCTTTGTGGACCTGAGTAGATGTATTAAAATGTCTGTGTGAATAAATCTTCTTAAAATGAGATTATCGGAGCTTACTAGAAACGGAACAGATCTCAAAAACTGTCCAGCTCCATTGCTTTGTTTGATGTATAAATCTGAGGCTCAGAAAAGATAGGGGGTTGCCCAGCAGAGGTTGGGGGCTGCAAACCAGGACTTCTGCCACATCGTTAGCTCAGACTCTACCAGAATATTCACTGGGTCCTATGAAGATATTTTGTAAGCATATAATTATGGAAATGCAATTGCTTAATATTTTTCTCATGTTGTATTGTACTTTTATGCTTAAGTCTAGTTTCTTCCTCTTCTTCAGTCTGAAAGTAATATCTTCTCTTTCTAATGATGCATTTGTTCTCAAAAATAACAAATGAATTCTACAGCAAACAGTGCAAGTACGTATTTCTGACGCAGAACATATATCACACTTGTTACGTTGAGTTGAAATGTGATAAGAACGTTATAAAGAGAAAAAGAAATCAATTGCAGATCTCACAGTTTCCATCTTCTCTAAATGAAATAATGTATTTCACAGAAACACAATCATAAAATGCACTCACTGTTTGACTGGCTTAGTCTGTGGAGTGTGTGACTCTTGATCTCAGAGTTGTGAGTTCGAGCCCCCTGTTGAGTGTAGAGATTACTTAAAATCTTTTTTAAAAAATGCACTCATATTTTAAGTACTGCTCAGACAGAAATATAAAACAAGCCCTGGCGATTATAAATGAAAGGCAACACTGACTACAAGATACTTTCTGACTTCATAGATGTTAAAATGTGGAAAAAAAAAAAAAAAGCATGTTTTAAGATTGGCAAAATGCCATAATGTATGTAAAAAATGACATAAATTAGGACTTTAATGATTAGAGGGGAATACTATTAGTCTAATGGTTACTTACTCGGCTGGTTTTCATTATTTCACTTCCTCGACTGACATCCTAAATTAAGATTGACCATTACAAACCAGTTTAAATTTGGGACTTTTTTACTTAAAAAACAAAACAATACAGTAACAACAGCTAGGTATATCATTGAAATTCCCTTCTTTACCAAGCTTCCTTAGTTTTTTTTTAATATAAAATTCCATGATCCCCAAATCTTTGAGGATATTTACCAATAAACTGAATTTCAGTATCTCTGTTTATAATGGTGCAGAATCAAGAAAAGACAAGAACTTAAGAACCATAGCCAACATGAGATGTCAGCTACTCTGGTGTTTCATCTTGCCTGAGTCATGATGGGAAGCCCAGAATCCATTCTGGAGTATTATTAAAAGCTTCACTTCCCAGAAATGAAAGACAACCATGGCCCTTCCCCACCTCTGAGTCAGGTCAATGAGCTGTAAAGGCACAGACGGGAGGTGCAGAAAAGGAGCTGGAGAAAAGGAAGCATAGCGGTCAGAAACACACGGTTCCCGTTTGCCAGGTCCTTTATCTTCAGTGAGGTTTTTAATAATAATGGAATAGCTTCTTACAAGTTTAATTGAGCCTTCATTTTTACAAAGCCCTTAATGATCTACCTTATTTTAAACTCAGTCGCTTGTGCAGAAACAAGGCTGGTGTTCATCTGAGCTTTGCGGGTGAAGAGTGTGAGCCACAAGGTGATGATCAAGGGGCACGATTTTTGGTCACAGCTGGTTAGAAGAGGGCAGAGGAGCTTGAGGCCCAAGATCCGGTCAGCCCTCCATGGGCTAGTCCTAGCCATGATGAGAGCAATAAACATGGGAGCTTGGGGAAGCCAAGAGTCATACTGAGAAGTGTGGAAGCTTGAACAGTACCAGAATCTGGTAACGTGATGGTCGTGGTGAGGGTGGCAGGGAGAAAATCTGTGGCAAGATGAAAAGAAACTGAAAGAGGAGAAGAGTAATCACTACTGGAGGGAAAATCCCATAAAAACTCATGCAATCCTACAACACCTGGGTGACTCGGTGGGTTAAGCATCCGACTTCTGCTCAGGTCACGATCTCATCGTTTGTGAGTACAAGCCCTGCATTGGGCTCTCTGCTGTCACTGCATAGCCTGCTTTGGATCTTATGTCTCCCTTTCTCTCTACTCTTCTCCTGTGCTCTATCAAAAATAAATAAACCATTAAAAATAAATAAATAAATGATAAATGTATAGATAGGTAGATAGATAGATAGATAAAAAGCCTCCATGCAATCCTAGTATGATGCAGAGTGGTGCATTAGTTCCTAGGGCAGCTATACAAATTACCACAAACCTGATTGCCTCAAACAGAAATTTATTGTCTCAGAATTCTAAAGGCTGGAAGTCTGAAATCAAGGTGTGTCAGCCAAGGTCATTCTCTCTCTAAAAGTTCTAGAGAGGAATCCTCCCTTTCCCCTTCCTAGCTTCATGTGGCTCCCAGAAATCCTTGACATTTGTTGGCTTATGGTGACATCCATTCCATTCTCTGCCTCCATATGCACACGGCCACTTTTCCCCGTGGGTCTTCTTTTCTCCTTTTTTAAGGAAATTAGTCATTGCACTTAGGAGCTACCCTAATCCAGTATGACCTCATCTCTACTAATTGTAAAGGTATCTACAAAAACCATATTTCCAAATAAAGAATGCATTCTAAAATGAGATTTCAGGTGCAGAAATAAAATTCAACTCACTGTAAGTAGAATTTAATCTAAGGCTGTTTCCTTCACTGGTCACCCATGTGGCCTTTATACTTTGAAGCAGGAATAAGATTCAAGTGTCTGCTCAGCTTATAGGTGACCCAGTGACTCCCATAAAAGTCAGGTGGGCCTCCAGGTCTCAGACTGGGCCCCACATAAAATGGGATGAGGGGGTGGCATAAAGCTTCAGTGGTCCTATTACTGAAGTCCTTCTGAATTTTGAGATGACCAACGTGGGGGGTTGCCCTCTTATGGTGACTCTTTGGCTTTCGTGCTACTCTGTGTCTATCCAAAGTCTCATTTTTATTAAACTAGAATCTGACTGGCCCATTTCCCACCATGTTGAGCACCATTATGCCATGCAAAGCCATTAGCTATTGGCACTTCAGCTTCTTTATCAGTAAAACTGGGAGGGGGAAAGAAATGAGCTAGGTACTTTACATAAGTTATCTCATTTACCCCAACCATCTTCTGAGGGAAATATTACCACTACTAACTTTTGCAAGGAAGAAAATGAAACTCAGAAAGGCTAAATAATTTCCTCCAAAGTAGCCCAGTCAGTAGGTAAGGGGGTCAAGACTGGAATTTGGATTTGTTGGATCTGCAGCCATGTTGCCCCTCCAGAGGACAGGTTTAATTTACTATCACTATATGCGCTATGCATGGAAACCCCTGGGATGAAAGCCCTGCATCAATGTCCTTGCCAGAAAACTCGAAATGTGAGCCCATGGCTGACTTCCCTGGCATTTATTTCTTTCTCCGGGTCTTCTGGCTCTTGTGCACCAGCCCTCAGAGCCACAACACAGTCCTCCAGAATTTAAAATTCTTAGAGTAGAACTAATTTTTTAAGCCAACCGGGTATCTACAGAAATGTAAAATAACCATATCTGGACCTTAAACGAAAAAAAGGTACATCAAATAATTCCTCTGGAAAGCCACATGAAGATCAGCTGGCTGTTTGCATCCTAAGTCTAACTGAAGTACTTCACAAAGGATGATCTCTCACTGTCTGTCCTGTCTTCTGACAAATATTTAGACATTTTAGCTAAGTGGTCTGGAAGTCTTTTTAAGTATCTCCAGAGCATTGTCTGCTCAAGGCACATGGATGACTTACAGGGAAGACCCTTGTGGGCATCCTTAAATTTTTTTTGTCTTTTCTCTTTCTGAGAACCATCACCACCGGTGCAGATCAACTCCCCCCCTTAGTGGCCACTAACTGCACATGCAAACACAAGTCTGATTCTCAATTTGCCCAGTGAGGATCCATGGACCTTCCTTCTTATAATCACAAACACAATAGGACATTCAGAACCTCTCTGGGGTCAGTTGGGGTGCTAAAGGGAACATGGTTATGATTGTTAAGGTCTCTCTTCTCAGGCTTCTCACTCATTCTTAATCTCAGGTTCCATATTGAAACTGTGTATAAGAAAGCCTGGGGAGAGGAACTGGTTTTCAGCAAACCCATTCCCACCACTGAAGAACAAATTAGACACAGCACCGTTGCCCTGTGAGAGTGCGTTGGAATTATCCTGCGGGGACAGACACCCACACCAATGCATGTGCCACTGTGTAGCTTTATATAAAGTACACTTGTTTACTAATGCAGCCAAGCATAACTGCGAGGGAACAAACCAGAACCATTCCTTACAGCAAAGAAACAGTTTTTGTCAAAGATCTGCTTGGAGCCATCCATTACCTAATGGGTGGCTATTTCATTTGTTCTTTTAATATTTAGATAATTCTTCTCCTCAGAGAAGTCTTTGAAGCATAAACTTATGCCTTTCCAGAAGGAAATCATTAAATAAGAACTTACAAAATCAAATTCTAAAACCTGTGGTCTATAAGACGAAGTTGATGTAAATCCCATTAAACATAATAGACTCTCCCTTAATGCTTATCGAGCAAAAGCACTTAGAGCAAAGAACTGAGCTAGCAGAGAATACAAAGATGTAGAATGCATGGCCCCTGATCTTATTTATATCACTCGGACTTCCCAGGACCGTTGCCATCTGAATACAACCTGTGTCAGCTTTTCACAAGATCTTCTTCTCTTACACCCTCTTGTTGCCATCCTAATTCTTGATCTTTCTTCATCTAATTCCTCCTGTCTTAAAGCCTTTTCTGTTTTGTTCTCCTCTTGCCCTTTGTTTGAGGTCCAATTCAGGTCCCATATTCTCTATAAGGCACTAAAAGTTTCTATTTTTTTTCTGAACACCAGTCACATCTATTAAGGGTTCTGCTCATAGAGCAATTGGTCCGTGCTGCCTCAAATTATTAGGGATAGGATCAGCCTTACTGGAAAAATTGTAAATCCCACCAAGGTAGGAATTATCGCTAACACATCTGATTTCCTCAAAGCTAGTCAACAAAATATCTTAGTAAAACTGGTCCATAATGAAGCTGCTATAAGTCAGATTGGGAAATCTTCAAAGAAAAGAGACCTTAGCTAGTCAAAGAGGGATATGGTTTTGGGAAAAAACAAGGAGGCAAAGTGAAACAATGCCACTTGTTTCAAGGAGCTTGAACAAAGGCACAGAATGAAAAGAACACCAAATGTGTGCAGGAAAGCATATGGAAGGCGGTCAAACTAGAGAAATGGTTCCATGCTGGGGAACAAGGGTGGAACTTTTTTCTAGCAAAAGGGGTATTATCAGTCTATAAATTCCTTAAAATGCAGAAAGAGAGAATCACACTTGATGTGTTAAGATCATCTCAGGGTCCAGTCAAAGGAGAGATCATTGTAACTGGGGTCTATATTGAGTAGGATTTGGGGACCTATCTTTGTTCACCTGAACAGAAGGTCGTGAATAATTAGTGATGGCTACCATAGGTGCAGTGCTGGGAATTGAAGCCTGTGCGTTACACTCGTGCTATCTCTACTCTGGTGAGTTATGCATGATTTCTGAGAAGAGAAAAGACAAATTCCAGTGTTCATCCTGGCCATGGGAAGATGGTACCTGTCTTGGGAAGACACTGTTGTGAACTCATGAACTCCAGGTGGGGTCACGAGGGTGTGGGCTATGTGTCAGCAGCAGAGTGGAGAGGTGGAGTCAACTGCATCTGGAGAAGAAGCAGATATGTGGGTGAGGAAGAGCAAAGCATTACAACTGGCTTTAAGGTTTTGAGCATGAGTGTCTGGGCGAAAGAAGAACATTTTATTTTGTAAGCGTATAGATTGTGATTATTTGCAAACTGAGAAATTAACCCCACTGACTGCCTCTACCGAGTGCCTTGGTCATGCAGGAGTTAAATATACAGAAAGCCGCAGAATGCTATTATTTTAGAGCCTTGTGAAAATGTAATTTGATTAGTCTATTGGACGATATTCCAAAGAACCAAATGTCTTCCATGAATCAGTCAGAAATGCTTAGGAAAACCAAAATAAAAAATGCTTTCTAAGCCAATAAAGGTGCTAATTAGTGCCTTCTGCATATCTCACTACATCTTCTCCAGTAATACATTTTGCAGGGTTAAGTGCGTGTCTGCTGCTTCAGATGGCAGAAGTCCACCTAACAGTAGGGAGGGTGGCTGGAGACTCAAGTATCTAAAAGGGAATCAGAACTGGCATTTAACCCATGCAATGGGATGTATTGAGTAGAGCAGAGAACTTTTTTTCTTGCTTTAATTCTTTTCCAAATCAACCCTTACAAAAGGGAGAGTAGGACCTTATTTTTTCATGCTTTCTTCATCCACCATTGCTTTGAAAGAGTAGAGTCTCATTTTAAAAAACCTAATAAGGGTACCCTAGAAGGAAAAAAAATGGAGAAAATATCAAGACCAAGCAACTGGAGAAGAGAGAAGGACTAAAGGAGACCGTAGTCAGTAGGAATTTATGTGGTGAATACAGACACATCTATAAGTGTTCCACCTTCTGCTGGGGTGGCCTCCAGTGTGGTGCTTACAGGAGCTTGAGGAAACGGAGGGTAACAGGAGCAGTTTGTTTGTCCCATTATGGCATTCCTTATGTGTCAAAGTCTTGCTGTTGTCCGAGGCAGCCAACTCTAATGCTTCCGGGAGCCGGGCAGGTAACTGCTAATGAACCAAGCAAGCGGGACAGAGACTGCAGAGAATCGCAAAATACGTGGGCTCCAACAGATCACTCCCTGAAGAGATCTTGGCTTGATGCTGCCGTATCTTCTGAGTTTTAAGAAAGTTCTAGGAATCCCAGTGCTACACTTGATCTTAGCCAAAAGGCTGAGAAGTGATTGGGAATCTCAGTGCTGATGAGAACTGAGCTACCAACCTGTGCCTCTCGGTTCAGGTTCCTTATTGAAAATAGACAAAGGGAACAAGAACCCTGACAAGCCCAGGAGGTTTACCTTGCAAATGAGCAAAGCGGAAAACAACAGCAACAACTAAACTTGAACTAAAACCAAAAAGACCCTCCAACAGGCAAGGAATAATAGTTTCATACTGCCTTATGAGTCTCTCAACTGCCTGGGTCCAAATGCTGGAGCGGTACGGTGTAGATTTATATTGTTCACCCCATATGACTTGTGTGGCTGAATTGTATTTGTTTTGCAGGGCAGACATTCATTGCAGCTGTGATGTCACGAACTTTTAAAATTGTGTATTCGGGGCTTAGTTAAAAACTCAGTGTGTACTCACACCTCAGCGATATGTCTTGAGTTCTTATCTTCCTAGACTATATGTTCCTTTTCCATCCAGCGAGGTCACTGAGCCTTTGTAACAACAGATGAAAACTACAGATGTTATCTCCACCTTGATTATCTTGGCATTCAGAGGCAAGTTCACAGATAACTTGAGAACTGTTCCTAGTCTCCTCCCCAGACAAGAACTCTGGCTCCAGACTGAAGAGCCTTTTATCATTTTCAGGCTCTTTTTTCATATGTTTCAATAATATAGGTTGTTTAGGTTGTTGTTGTCTTTTTTTTAATTTCTCCCACATGCATTATATTTCTTATGGTGAAAAACTTCACTTTCTCATGGAAGTGATGGTTGGCAACATTTCCAGTGTGATACATGTCACACTTTCACTCTAGGGAAAACCACCGTGAGAGGAAGTGAGAAGGCTGGTAAATTTCCGTAGGCACCAGCCACGTTCTGAATATTTCCCAGGGAGCCAGCAGCCTCAGTATTACATCACCAATCCTGCGTACCGTAACCACAAGGCCTTCTGAATGGGCCTCCTCCTCCCAATATTCAGCTCTTCTATCCTGCCCTCAGCACCACTAACCAGGCAAATGGACCTTCCACATCCTCTCTCTCACATTAATTTGTTTGTTCAAAAACCTTTCCTTGCTTTCCATTGTAAACTCCTCTTTCTGGCTTCCAAATAAGTTACGGGACATTCTGTTGGCAGTGTGGTGTTTTGAAAAGAAACAACAGCAACAAACGAAAATAAGCTGTGACATCCTGCTGGCCGTGGAAAATTTATTTAATCTCTCTGAGCCTCAACTTGCCTCTCTGTTAAGGAGGGATTCATACTATCTATTTCATTGAATTGTAAGAATTAAAAGAGGTGGAGAATGCAACATGCCTAGCACGCAGCTTCATTCATTTATTATTTAATGCTAAATAAACAGTAACTGTTATTGCTATAATCAATAATATAGGTGATGATGAATTCCTGGATCTGCTACTTTTGAATGTGTGATCATGGGCTCATTACTCAACTCTTGTGAGTCTGTTTCTTTAACTGAAATATAAAGATAGATCCTAAATGTTAAGAGTGTTGTGAAGATTAAGAGATACAAATACATAGAAGATGCTCAACAAATGCTGGGTCCTTCGTGTATTCTTTTGCCTATCCCCACCCTTGCTCCTCAACCTTGCGGGCCATGAGAGAGTGTTCCAAAATGCCCTGTGATCCCTTCGGACTAGCCCTAGCACTGTGCTTTGCACTTGCTACAGATACTCTTTGTGCATGGCAACACGTCTTCCCATCCATCAAATTTTACCCATTCTTAAAAATCCAAGACAGTCTCTCCATGAAACCTTGGTCGACTACTCAATTTACCACTGACTTCCCTCTCGACCAGGCAAGTACAATTTCTTCAAGTGGCCGTCACACAATTTAGCTGTTCATTACATTCTGTCTTGTTCACTACCGAGATGCCTTGTACCCCATGCACATACAATCTCAGATATGGAAATCAATCCCATGGTAATTCATCTGAGAACTAGAAAATCTTCTGTGGGATAAAAGGAAATTAAGCTCATGTCCCCTTTTGTTTGTTGCAGTTTCTGTGCGTGAACAGGGGATGGTGTGCATGACCGTGACGGAGTACATGAGGTAAGTGGCAGCATCCGTGTCGCTCCACTCTGGTATCTGACAGTGGAATCTCTCATAAAAGAAATGGAAGTGAGGAGTCTTCTTAACAATGCCATGGATCTTGGAGTTTTGTCACTGGTTTGGCCACAGCACCTGGAAAGCCTTCACTAGTCTTGAGAAAAATAGAGGTTCTTTAAATGTCCTAAAGCAGTGAGCACAATAAATGAACAAATGTTGGCTTGGGGGGAGGATTTAATTAAAATATATGCACAGAATGCATTTGACTGTAATACAAGTCTTCAGAAGGACCTGTTCATGAAATAGTTGCATCCATATTCTCACACCGACAATGTTAGTGATCACCATGCTATTTGCTGGGCAATAATACAGTTGACCTTTGAACAACATGGCTTTGAACTGTGTGGGTCCACCTATATGCAGGATTTTTTTTTAATTCAAGTATAATTGTCATACAGTGGCTCATTTCAACACAGGATTCAACAATTCTATACATTTCTCAGTGCTTGTCACGATAAGTGTACTCTTAATTCTATTTCACCCATCCCCCCACCCACCTCCACTTTAGCAACCACCAATTTGTTCTCTGCATTTAAGAGTCTGGTTTTGTTCAATCTGTCTAGTTTTCCTTTGTATGTTCATTTGTTTTGTTTCTTAAATTCCACATATGAATGAAATCATGTGGTATTTGTCTTTCTCTGACTGGCTTACTTCACCATGCAGGTTTTTTTTTTTAATAAGTACAATCCATTACTGTAAATGTGTTTTGTCTTCCTTTTGATTTTCTTAATAACATTTTCTTTTCTCAAGGCTATTTTATTATAAGAACACAATATATTATGTATAACATGAAATATGAGCTAATTGACTCTTATCAGTAAGGCTTTCAGTGAACAGTAGGCTGTTAGTAGTTCTGTTTTAGGGGAGTCCAAAGTTATATGTGGAGAGGCGCCTGAGTGGCTGGGTCAGTTAAGCATCCGACTCTTGATATCGGCTCAGGTCGTGACCTCACCATCATGAGATAGAGCCTGGGTGTCCTGAGCATGTTGCCTGTTTTGGATTCTTTTTGTCCCTCTCCCTCTGCCCCTTCTCCATGCTTGTTCTCTTTCTCTCTCAGAACAAAAAACAACAAACAAAAACAAAAAGAAATCAACATTGAAAAACACCAGAAGTTATATGTGGATTTTTGACTGTGTGGAGGACATCACCTGTAACCCTCATGTTGTTCAGGGGTTAACTGCACATAAAATTTCCAATGTTAGGTAGAAAGCAGTGAGGGTCTCTTAATATGAGAATAGAGACTAGGCTCAAAGGAATGCTCAACAGTGGCAACAGCATGACCTCAGAACTTAATAGAATTGCACATTTTCAAGCTCTGTCCCAGACACTCTGAATCAGAAAATCTGGAGGTAGGGTTCAGAAATCTGTTTTTTTTTTTTTTTTTAGAGAAAAAAATTTTTTTACAAATAGTTTATTGTCAAATTAGTTTCCACATAACACCCAGTGCTCATCCCCACAAGTGCCCTCCTCCATGCCCATCCCTCCTCCCCCCCACATCCATCAGTCCTCAGTTTTTGTCAGCATTCAAGAGTCTCTCACGGTTTGCCTCTCTCCCTTTCCCCCACCATTTCCCTCCTTCTTCTCTCCCTTGTTCCTCTGTTAAGTTCCTCCTAATCCTCCTATATGTGCAAACATATGATATTTGTCCTTCTCTGCCTGACTTATTTCGCTCAGCATAACACCCTCAAGGTCCATCCATGTTGCTACACATGGCCAGATTTCATTGTTTCTCATTGCCATGTAGTATTCCATGGTATAGATAAACCACATCTTCTTGATCCATTCATCTGTTGATGGAAACTTAGGCTCTTTCCATGTTTTAGCTATTGCTGAGAGTGCTGCTATGAACATTGGGGTACATGTGCTCCTATGCATCAGCACAGAAATCTGTTTTTGCCAGCCCTTCAGAGGATTCTGAGAAGTACCCTCACGTAGAACCGCTGGCATAGAAAGTGAGCTTTTTGAGGTTGAGAACTCTGCTCCATGCCTCAACCACCTTTGCATGTTTCAAGATGATTCCAACTGTTGAAAACCAAATACTCAATACTGTATCCCTTTGACTCCTACCAATTCACAATTTTTCTATTTGGTCATAGTTTTTTCCTCTTAGCAGATTATTTTTGCTGCTCATAGAATCTTAGAGCCACAAAGGACCCCAGAAATCTCTCAGGCAACTTTCTCATTTTGTTGAAGAGGAAAATGAAAGCCAAGGTCAGTGACTCCTGCTCTCATGGCTTGGTCATAACTGTGACTATACATGGATTCTCCTGGATCCAAGGCCACTGCAGTTTCTGGGTGGCTCTGCTGAGCATTACAAAGAAAGGTAATGCTTACAACCCCAAATGGAAAAGAAATATGGCAGACTTAATACAAACCGAGGCGAGGCAATACATGAAAGGATATCTTTTGCCTCTCTCCAGGGCTTCCAGCAAGTTCAACCATCTGTTAAAGCCAGGGTCTTTATTTTCAGAAACATACACATTCTAAGCCGTAATACAGAGAAGTAATTGAACAAAGAGGCAAAGGAAAAAATCTGGGCAAGGACTAATGAAAATTCAAGATCACTTGGTCTCCTTGGGAAAGTTGACATCTACATTGTATTCTTTGATAAATTCCCATTTTGTGCCAATTAGCTGTTATGACTGAGGCTCGATGTACTTATGGTACATCTGAACAATATAAAACTGAACTATATTATAACAGGGTCTCATTCTGTTTGGAAGTGCTTTCAAATGACTTGCAGTGCAGGCCCATTTGGGTAGAGTGTCACTGGGTTTTGTGGTAGTAGAGGAGCCGACTTCTGTTGCATGTGGGTGGCCACAGGAGACAGCATTTAGAGATCGTTAACCATGCAGTATGGAATCTGTCACCATTGTGGGAATTAATATGGAGTCACTTCATCAACCACTCACCGTACTTCTTTCATCACATAATTTTAACTTCTTTAGAAAGTTGGTGCCTAGCCTAGCTGTGTTCCTGAAAGGTTCCCCAATGATTCGCCATCTGTCAAAAGTGAGACATTCTGTCACCTTTATAATGAGCACTAGCGGGCACCTAACACTTAAATTCTCACACCTTCTGTAACACAACCCTCTTGAAAGCAGGAGCATCTTCTCCACTGCATGCTCTCTCTTCTTCAAAGGTGCGGCCATTAGGGATTATTAGAAATGAAGAGGAAATGCAAATGTTTGCTCTGGAAGGGAAAGATTCACAATGATCTCCCAGGGGACTATCTAAATCAACACGTCTCATCATTGGTATTTTCCCGACTGTAGATCTCTGCATCCGTTTTCAGAAACTCCCACCCTTTCCAGAGGGACCAGTTTCAACTCTTGCCATTCTACAGCAAGTATACCACAAAGGTATGTGATTTCCAGGCACTTTTTATCCAGAGAAATCATTCTGTGCTGCAGTGGATTTCATGAAATTACAAACAGGCATTTGGGAAATAACTCGTTGAATGAATGGATGAGAGAAAGAATGAAGGATGTCAAAACTCCAATTCGTAAGAAGGATGTCAAGGAGAGTCAGGGAGATTGAGCTAAGTGTCTGTCAATGGGGAAATGGTCCAACATTTTATAAATGGTCCACCCATTTTATAGAATTCTATACAGTTATAAAAGGAATAGGCAGAAAGAACTATATATACTAACTTAGAATGAACTTCAAGTCATATTTTTGAGGGGGAAAAAGCAAGATGCAGAAAGATACATAGAGTATGCTGCTATTTATAAATCAAACAAGTGAAACTATAAGGCATCTATGAAATATAGAAAAATATCTGGAAGGACACATATAAATTCAGTAGCAAGGGAGTCAGGATTGGCGGGGGTAATGGTCAAGGGGAAAGAAAGCTTTATGTGTAATATACTTTTTGACAATTATCTTACATAATTAAATGTAAATAAGAAGACTTAATGATATTAAAAATGTTTAGTGACAAATCAATAAATGCATTCTTGCACATGAGATTGTGAGCCTTTAGAAGGCAGAACTATGTCTTTGATCCTTTTTGCACATTGGGTGCCTAGCAGAGAGCCTGGAACATGACAGATGTTCAATTAATATTTGTATAAATGGGATAAAAATTTGTACAATGGGACCGTAGGATAACAGACTAAATCTTTCATAAGGTTTGGATTTAGATTTCTCCCAAGAATTTTTTTCTCCCTTGAATCTTTTCTATTTGGGCGTATCAAGTGATTGGTATCCCCAGTTCTTCAGTTCTTTCCAGTGATTAAGATATCCCAGCTGAGCCATTTAAGCCCCACAGTAAGAGTTTTGGCTTATCTTTTTTCCCTTGATCGAATCATGAGGCAAAGCACCAGCTCTCTGTCACATAAGAAAGTGTGAACGTGATGTTGGGTAATGTGTGGTAAGTGGGCCTGCCCAGTGAGACTACAGGTGGCTGTTGTTAAATGTGTGAATGGCTAAATACATGAATTGTAATTAATCCAATTTAAATGATGAAGTCATGAAAGTAAATCATCCAAACTATCTCAAATAAGCTCCTCGGTGTTGCGTGTAGAGACAAACAGAAACCTGCAACAAAAGAACCAGGCAAACCTAGGAAAACCTCCTCAGAAGTTCTGCTTCCTATATAACCCTTGAGTTTTCAAAAGGTCAACAGCACGGTTACCCAGAAGAAGGTCAGTGATTGGAAACTAGTTGGTATACATAAATATAATTTCCAGAAAACTGAAGTTTATAATTTTAAGTGCCAAAGCTGAGTAAAACGATTTGAAGAAAGCACTTCTTAGTTCTCACCCAAGTCCAAAAAAAAAAAAAAAAAAAATACAGAACATATTTTAATCCTGCTTAGGGACTAAAAATCATTACTTGTAAAGATCGGTCCTTGGAGACTACGTTTAATGATATCCTCAAAAGATATGTGTACCTGAGGGCACCCTCAGACTGATTCTCGTTAAAAACATCCTTTTTTGAGTTCTACTGTTCACAGCTTTGTTTTGTTTTTTTTTTTTGTTTTTTGTTTCATATTGCCATGAACTACCATTTCTTTGTGGTTATCAGTGCATCACTTCTGGTTTCTGTCCCACCATATTTCTGTTCTATCTAACTTAACATTCACTTACTATGAAATAGAAAGCCAGATAATTAAACTCCTTGGTCTTGCATAGAAAGTACAGTCAAGCAGTCCCTGAATGGGTTTGATGGGCTGTCTTTTAAGTGAGTACATGTGAGCTCTCATAAATGCGCCATCTATTTGCCTATTTAGATTCCTCTTCCACTCAATTTCTAGAAGATTGGGTGGGTGAGGTGACTAGAAAAAAAATGGGTCTTGTTAAATGAACTGTTACTGGATAAAGATATTCATCTTTTTACCACAGCATTCCTGAATGGCTGGAATTTTGGGAAAAAGATCCAGTGGAGATTCTCTTGGATCTGGGGTTTGGTGCAGAGGAGCCAGACATCTGCACCCAAATCCCAGCCAGATTCTTGGGTTCTGGTTCAGCAGCCAGAGGAATCAACAACCAGGTTTTTCTTGAAGCTCAAAAGCAGCGAATGGACCTTGAGAACCCGGACCTGTATGGTAAGTGGGGACTGCGTGGCTTGTGAATCTTGGCAATGGGGGTGGTGGCCAGGTGAGCCACAGTATTAGGAGGGACGATTTGGAATATATGTGTAGTGACAATAACCCCAATACTGCAGTGGCTTAGAGCAGAAATGTGTACATGTTGATCACTCTACGTGTCTGCATTGGCTTCATGTGCATGCTTGGGGGAAAGATCTGTTCCATGTTGCCTTCATTGGTGGACTTGACCCCACCGCCTGAAAGTCTCTTGTCACAATGACAGAGAAAAGGTGGAAATGCAGAATCACACTTGACTCTTACCTCTTTCCGCTCAGAATTTGCCCATTGATTTCATTGTCCAAAATCAGTCACATGGCCACACTTTACTCCAAAGGGCTGAGAGTGTGCAATCCTAACATACGTCCAGAAGAAAGAAAATGCACTAGCAGTGAAAAGCACTAATATATACCATAGCCACATACTCGGGAGGCAGAGAAACCAGGATCTGATGAAGCTTAAGGTAAAACCTTAATTTCCTCATCTATGAGGTTTAGAATGGTGCTTCTTCTACCATGAGCCATTAGTGATAGGCTATAAGCTATCAGACCTCCAGATCTGTGGATTAACTATACCTAAACCGCTTTGTTATCATGCATGCTGCTATTTTTCCCCAACTGGTGGTCAATGGAATTTTCTCTGGGATATTACTAGGATGCTGTTGGAGTGTGTGTTCTGTGCTCAAATAATTTTGGGGAAAGATGCCTTGCAGTTAAACAGGTTTATTTACTCCAGAATTTGTTTAATAAGCTCAAGTACACTCTCAGTCTCCCAGTGAGGATGCAGTGCAGACTTTTCAAAATCATTTAAATATAAAACCCCTCTTGGAGGAGTGTTAAAGAACATCTCCTCCATGGGATAGAGTTTGTAGAATCCTGGACTGGAGAAAATGCCAAAATGCCATTTCTGAAATAAGTTCTTTAAATAAATCCATGAAAGTCAAGTGAGATAAAGTGTTTTTCTCAAACAAATATCTTAGATTTTTCATTTTAGTGTCTGTTTCACCCAATTTCATGTGGGTGAAATGCGTCTCAAAATTTCAGCAATGCAATTTTTTTAAAAAGAGGAGGTGTCCCTAAAGATGTTGCTATGCGATGTTTCTTTACCTTTTGGAAGAAATTAGTATCGTTCTTTGTTGTCTCCTCCTCCAAGCCATAGGGAGATGCAAGTTCTTTGATCAATTTGGAGACAATAACTCTTATCAATATTTGAGGGGTGTTTGACTTGAGCGGTAAACATTTTATAGATGAAATTGACACATAGATTATGGAAGACCCGGGAGCTGGTCTTCTGTGATTATGTCCACTCTAATTTCCACCACTCAACACTGTGCTAGTTACACACCCTAACCATTTTCACTCAACACTTACCAGTACACTTTTGATTCAAGAAAGCAGAGAAGGATGAATGTAAAAGAAACAAAAATAAAATTAGTTGGTTGCTCTAAAAACAGAAGGGAAAAGTATCTTATTCAACGTCAATTAAAAAAAGGCTCAAACTTGAAGGGATGAGAATCAACTGATTCATTGTTCAATCTACCAAAGGCAAAGCAAACAAACAAAACACAAAACACCCATTCATCCAGCACTACAAGACTCTGTTCTCTGAATTGACTTACCCAGTTAAATGGATAGATTCCTAGTCCAAGTATAAAAATCTGCTGTAGGATGGATGGATGACAATCATAAAAATAGAATTATGATTCAGTCATACCCTTGGGCTCACAAAGAAAGATTTAGTTTCAATTAAAGCTGAATTTAGAGGAAAAATATAATTGGAATGCTTCTGAAAATATCCAGAACCCAAGAGTTCCTTTAGGTCTTGAAAGAATATCATAATCCTCTGTGAAAAGCCCATCACATTTTTTAAAGTGGAAGGATCAATAGTCAATATCTTTCCCTTTCAGGTTAGGGGAGCAGGTAGATGCAAGGATGTGCTCCCGGGAGAGTCAGTAGCCCTGAGGGTGTAAGCAACTGAACAAAGGATTGTTACTCACCAACAAGGCCTTTGAGCATTGCTGAGCTGTGCAACCCTGCATACTATCAACCCTGAGGTTGAGAAAAGGTTGTGTAATATAAACAAAATCTTCCTTTTCCATCTTTTTGGTTTTATTATCTAGAGACAACCAAGACTATTCTTCACCATTTTCTTTTAAAGTGGCAATGTGTCCTCAAATTGCCCTGGCCACACTAGGTCTCTTCCATATGATAATTAAGTCAATAATTACATATTGCCTACATGCACCATCCAGGAAGACTTACAAGTTGAGGAGCTGGTTCATTTGAAAAGACAAATGGATTTTCACATTAATGGCTATCTTCTCTTGGACAACTGAGAACAATATATTGTCTTCCGGAGTCTTGCATATTTATAGCTCTAATTACTGTATAGCATTGTGCTTTTCACAACAGATGTGAGAGGTACATAAGATGGGTATTATTACACTCATTATCCTGATGAAGAAACTGTTTACTATGTGCTTGTCACAGGATGAAGCACTACATTTCTATTAATTAATTTACTCTGACATCACACTCCCAGTGATTGGTTGAACTGGGATATGGATCCAGGCCTTCTGACTCTTTATTCCATGATCTTTGCACACTGTAGGTGACAGGATAGGTGGAGATAATGGAGGTGATGATTATGGTAACTGCCACCTAAAGCTGTGGAAGAATTCTCAAGTTCACCTCACATGAAAAAGCTAGTTTCACTCTTTAACCTTTAGTTTAATACACAACATTAGATTAAGGTTGATCCTTGCCTGTAGTTTTTATGGATTTACACACAGAAACTACAGGCATATATGAATGTATATACCTAGGCATATTTAACTAAATATAAAAGGTATTAGCTATCCCCAAGACACAATGGCATCTTCTTACGTTGAGGAATCACTGCTATAATAACCAGTGGCGTGTACTGAGAAAAATTTGAGTTTCAAGAGGTTAAGTCCTTCCCATCTTGAAAATCACACGTGTTACCAACCTCTTCAGTTTTGACTACATTCATGCAGTTTCACTGAAAAGACCCAGTCTAAAAATTGTGTGTTCCTTCGTTCAGGTCGCTTCCGACAACTAGAGATCCTGGACCATGTAGCCAATGCCTTCTCATCTTTGCTGAATGATGTTAACATCCTGCAGAACAATGCAGAAGAGAAAGATGGAGGGGGAAATGTGCAAGGGACCTCAGTGAGTGAGGCCAAAGAACATGGAAGAAGAATGGGTGGACTTTCCAGGAGAGCTTCAAAGCAGACTATTGGGAAGGATGGTAGCTCAGAACTGTCAGAGTTCTTGAAGAAGAGTGGCAAATTTTCCATCACCTCTGCAAAATCGGGAAAATGTGGAGCAGAATTACCAACTGTGACAAACCACCAAGACCAAAGTTATTTGTGTCCTTCATCAGAACACTTGTCTCTCCAAGCATTCGGTGACTTGGTACCTTGTCACTCTCCCCAAGCTCTTCTGAGCAAGCAATGGCCTCGCTCATCCACACTGGCCAAGAGGGCTCCTCCTTCCTATCTGTATGAGGGGTCAGTCAAGGACAGAACTCAAAAGGTGAACTTGATTCAAGCTAACAAGCTCAAGAGCTTCTCTCGTCTTGCAGGCCGAGTACCAGACTCCTTTGAAATGGAAGAGGTCAGTGTTGTACCTCCACACTCAACTTCTAAGAGAAATGACCATTCCCAAGGCATCTTCTGCCTTCTACCCTCAGTTAACGCCTTTACCTTTCAGCCCCTCAGCTTCATATCTTATTGTTCCAAATTCCTGTTTTTAGTCTAAAACATTTAAGGTCATTCTAGCATGCTTCCATCCTCTCTCTAACTTTCCTTGTTTCACCAGTGGTCTTTGAGGGACAGTAGAGGTACTTCCCACTCAGTGAAACCTGTCCACCCATCCACTCTGTATACCAACAGCTTTGGCAGGGAGAGCTTGTAAGGAAGAGACTGTACATGTGTTTCAATGGCATCTCCCTTGCTAGTCTGTCAGCTCCTTGACCACCACGTCCTCAAGGAGACGTGCCGTGGAAGTATTTCCCCCATGACGCCCAATGCAGGGCCTTAGACAAAGAAGGGGGGACCTGGGTTTGGTTTTGATTTTACAGGACTAATATTTTATTTGTTTGTTTGCTTTGGAGTTTATCAAATTCACATTAATTGACCTCCATCCATTTCACACATATAAACTCACAACTCTGCACCAAGAACTCTTAGCACCAACCTCATTCCTATGCCACTACACATTTCTGGGGCTGGCCCCACCTTTTTCTGATGCCCACGCTGTTGGCGTCATCAGTCTCATTCTATGCCACCAAGAGGCAACTCAGGAAAAGTATGAATGCATTTGAGATGTAGCGGTAGTAGTCTCACTGTTGGGTTCTCCCTGGATTGCACCGCAGCACAGAGCCTCTTAGTGTGGGTCCTGTGGCTTGACTGAAGTTCACGCATCAGTGCCTGCTTACTTTCATCCTTTTCACCATGTCTTATGCAGACTGATCACGATATATTTTGTCCGTAACACACAGGCATGAAATATGTGATGTGGAAAACATTAAACTTTTTACAGACTCTTTCCTCACATGTGCCTCTTCACACTGCCTGCTTTGTTTCCTCTCCACACTGTTTATTTCCCATCTACCCAGGGTCAGAGCCCAGTAACCCCTCAGACTTCTCTTTCTTGACTGGGAGAAGGGCTAAGGAATGTCAGTAAATAAAAGATATTTTGTCCTATATACATACATGTGTGTGTGTCTATGTGCACACACATTATGTATATCTATATTCACATATTTCACAATCTGCCCCTTCATCTTCCCCTTCACTCACTCATGCTAATTTTCACCCTCACTTAGATGACACCCCCACTTGCACTTCTCAGTCTTTTAAAAAAATATATACATCTTTTCACACATTTCTCTATTCTTTAATATTATGACAGAGGAAATACAAAAGAGCAAAAATTTTTTCCCTGATGTAATTATCCAGAAGTGGGGCAGGATATTTATATGCGAACCCCAAGGTGGAGCCACCTTTCCTATGAGCCCTCTGTAAGCCTGACACTCTGATAGTCTCTGGGGTGCAAGCCTGCCAGCAAGGGAATGTCGGTGTGGTGGCAGGGACAGGCACAGGGACCAGTGATATGCACGGAGAGTGACAGCTCTACTGGTAAACTTTCATATCACTCTAGACATGTTTAGGACATTGGTGGAGCAAAAAGATAGGTTCTTTTTTTTTTAATGTTAATTTAGTTTTGAGAGAGAGAGAGAGAGAGAGAGAGAAGGAGGGAGAGAACATGAGCAGGGGAGGGGCAGAGAGAGAGGGAGACAGGAAATCCCAAGCAGGCTCCAGGCTCTGAGCTGTCAACACAGAGCCCAATGCGGGGCCCAAATTCATGAACTATGAATCCATGATCTGAGCTGAAGTCAGATGCTTAATTGACTGAGCCACCCAGTCACGCCAGGAAGATAGGTTGTTAACCAGCCAAGGGGCTGAGAGGATCAACGAACTTGCAGGAAGTAAGGCTTACCCATGACCTTAAAAGAAGAAGAGGAATTAGGTGCATATGCCTATTGGAAGACTTACCTATGCCAAAAGTATATAAAAATTGCTCCAAAATATGTAGCTGTTAATGATCCTAATATCTATGTATATATGTTTATGTGTATACATGTCTTATGTCAAAAAATTATTTTGAGAACCTTAAAATATTAAAAAATATGAGCCTTAAAATATTTATCTGAATGTAAACCAATAGCCTGCAAATAAATAAAAACTGTAAATGGATAAAAAAGCAGATCTTTAATCTAGTACCCTGATTTGAAGATAAACTGAGGTAGCGCTACGAAAAATTTTCTTTTAATTCAATCTTGCAAAGATTATTTAATTATCAAGCTACTACTTACAGTGACATAAATATTAAGAAAATCTGCAATCCATTTGTCAGTCTGCTATATTACTTAGGATCCAAACAAGAAATTTCATCCAGTGGAAAATAACGTCCATTGGATGCCGTCTATATGTGAGAGGACAGGGAGAGATAAACATTACATTCAGAATAAAAAGGATCTAGAGGGACGCCTGGGTGGCTCGGTCGGTTAAGCGTCCGACTTCGGCTCAGGTCATGATCTCACGGTTCATGGGTTCAAGTCCCGCGTTGGGCTCTGTGCTGACAGCCAGCTTAGAGCCTGGAGCCTGCTTCGGATTCTGTATCTCCCTCTCTCTCTCTCTGACCCTCCTCTGCTCACGCTGCCTCTCTCTCTCTCTCTCTCTCTCTCTCTCTCAGAAATAAATAAACCATTTTTTTAAAAATTAAAAAAAAAGGATCTAGAAAAGAATGTCAGATCTTGCATGGTATACTTTCAAATATTCTTAAATAACAATTATTTAAGGAAAAGCTCTCTGGTAGTATGTATGGAGGTGAGAAGACACTCAGACACCAAAATAAAAGAATATAAGTCCATATGCTTTTTGTTTGTTTCTTTCTTTGTTTTTTTTTTTAATGTTCATTTATTTTTGTGAGAGAAAGAGACAGGCATGAATAGGGGAGGGACAGAGAGATACAGAGACAAAAGATCCAAAGCAGGCTCCCGGCTCTGAGCTTTCAGCACAGAGCCAGAGGTGTGGCTCAAACTCATGAACCACGAGATCATGACTGAGCTGGAGTCGTTCCCTCAACCAACCGAGCCATCCAGGTGCCCCTGTTTCTTTGTTTTTTTAAAGAAATTTATTTTTATTTTATTTTTTAAGTTTATTCATTTTGAGAGAGACAGAGAACAAGCTTAAGTGGGAGATGGGCAGAGAGAGAGGTAAGAGAATCCCAAGCAGGCTCATTGCTATGAGTGAGAGGCCAATCCCATGAACCATGAGATCATAACCTGAGCTGAAAGCAAGATTCAACCAACTGAGCTACCCAGGTACCCCAAGCTCATATAATTTTAGGCACAGAGTAAGTACTCAGTAAACATTTGTGAGTGATTAAATTAGCATTAAAAATATTTGATGATTTTAATTTAGTCTGGCTGGCATCCATAGAAAAACAGAATATGCATTTGAACTTCATAACCAACTTTGTCCATGGTCTTTCTATAACATTTGCCCAGATTCATGTGTATGACAGGCTATATATGTATCCAAGGCAGAGAGCCCCCAAAAGTGATATAAAGGAAACTTACTACTTGAATTTTGTTTTTCTAAAAAGTATACCTAAAATATTATGTCCTCATCACAGACTGGAAAAAAAATATTTGTTTCATTCAACACCAATGGATGAGTAAATGAAGCTTGGTACTTTGCATCTTAAACAGGAACTAAGGCCAGATTTAATAGTCATTTTTTAATGGCAAATTTAAAAATCCAATTACAAGAAATGAAAAATATGTGTGAAATTGGCAGATTTTCATGGCATTTAAAACATGAGCCAATGTACTTAAATATCTAGCTATCATAATTTCAACTGTGATTGGCCAAAATTGCCTTCAGATCTATCTATGATGCTCTCCCTGAAGTCCTACTTACAGGCTGAATTTGACAATATTTGGCTCACTTTTCAAAACTATGATTCCAACAAAATTGCGCATAGATTTTTTAGTGCAAAAATCAACATATTTTTTGTTTAATTTTACTTAGTAAAACTGAGTCTGTTCCTTTCTTTTTAAATTCCCAAACATATTAAGAGAATTTAATACTAATGAAGCATCTGCAATTGTAAAGTCAAGGTAGGATGCTTCTTTACATCCACTATAAAACATATTTAATTTTCCTCTCGCTTCCATTCAGAGATCCTGCTCTCTAGAACTAAATGTGAGCAACAATGTCCCTATTATGAAACAATGCCAATTGGCATCCTGATTAGGTGGAAAATGTTTCCAAAGTTTATAACTAGTTCTTTATTTTTAATTTTTAAAAATTTATTAATAAGTTTGGCTCAGGGTGACTAACCCAGGAATACACCTGGTTTGCATTTTACATTGTTGAGATTTTGTTGTCTGGGGGTTGTTTTTCGCTAGATGAACATGTGCTTTACATTGCACGAAGTGAACTTTTCTCCCTGATGATGATCGCAGCAGAAGAATTTTCTTATTGTACTTGAAAATGTCCATGGTACCTGTATATGGTGCACGCTGGTTTGAGTGACAAAACCAATTAGAGTAATGTTAAGAAATATGTCTAATTAATCTTAAGTATAAAACAACTTAAAAAAAACAGATAAAGGATTAAAAGCAGGGAATAAATAGTTCTTCTTACTTTGCTGAGTTGTAGCCTCATGGTTTTCTGTTTATTCCTGAGTTAAAGGTCCTTTCGGCACATGTACTATAATGTTTAAATGTCCTTTGATTCAGTTTTCACTATTCAGATATGAGTCCAATTGAATAATATGACATGAAGAAGATTTATGTACAAGGATACTCATCTCACCATTACTTCTATTTGCAAAATTTAAAAAACATTCAAACATTAGGAGAACCATTAAGTAAATTAATGTACCTTCAAAATATGGCCTATTGTAAAGTCTTCAAAACTGGTGTTTTCAAAGGAATTTCCAATGTGGGGAAATAAGCTCCCCTTCTAAATTTTGAGTGAAAATTTTTGATTACATAAGGATATCCAAAAACATCATATTAAAAACGAAACCTGCAAAAACGAACTCCAAAATATTAACAGTAACTGTTTTCTTACCTTCTTTAACTTTTTAAATCAAGTTTCTATAGTACTCTATATTATTACTTTTAAAGAAATATTTTTTTTTGAGAGAGAGAGAAAGCACACATGAGCAAGGGAGGAACAGAGGCAGAGGGAGAGAGAGAAACTCAAGCAGGCTCCATGCTGGGCATTCAGGGCATGATCTCATAAACCCTGAGATCATGACCTGAGCTGAAACCAAGAGTCAGATGTTCAATGGACTGAGCCACCCAGGTGCCCTGAAAAGAAATATCTATTATTTTGTTTTACCCATAATTTTATTCCCACTAGAGTGTATTTATCAATTCCTGAAAATAACTTTAAAAATAAATTCTGCTCTATCAATTTGGAAAACAAATTTTCTTTGAGCTATGTAAGCCCTGTATAGCAACTGAGTTGTGAATTTTCTGAATCACTTTCCATAAATTTACCAAGTCATAAATAAATCCCTCAGAGAAATAAAATTAAACATGGGAAATAACTTTCATTATCCGAATATATTTAAAGCTCTTTAGGAGCAAACAAAAAATATCTAGTATAATAGTATTATTATTATTTCTGTTTCTCTCGAATGCCACGTCTTACAGACAGGGTTTCTATTCTTCCCACCCAGAAGTGATTCCCCCATTTCCCTCTCCTGATCAGCTTTAGTTCTTTGAATCTTTATCCTGCTTGGAGGAGAGTGTAAGCTCTTTGAGTTTAGAAATCATAGTTAATCCTCTTAGCAGTAGCCAGTAGGCACTCATTATATGTTGATTAAATAAATGAAGTGAATTTATTATGAAAACATTTCTAATGAGATTGATATATTTTGGTGTCTCAGGTCCAGAGCTTTGAGGAAGAGACTGGTAATCCTCTTGACATGACTTCAGGATTTGCAGGTAAGAATTTATCAAGCTGTGCAAATTTCATTGATGGTCTTTCAGAAGGAAATGGTAAATAACAAGTGCTCAACTTTCTTAATATGTAGAACTTAAATTACCTTCCGATGTCATAGCTACTACTACTGCCATTTACTACCACTACTATTTATATCGACTACTATTAAAAGCCTACTAGCAATGTCAATGTACATGTACATTTCAAAAGACTTATTGCAGAACTGTTTGACATCCCGGGGGCTAATGCAACATGTGGTTTGTGCAACATCAACTCTATATGATTTAATCAGGAGAGTGGACTGGATTCCACATAGAACTGAGACTAACTGAATGAATAATTTCTTACTCCTACTGACAACTGCTTGATGTTACAAAAGTTGCATCATTTTACTGGGCCTCCGAGAAGCAGAGGTAATTTTTAAGTTTTCTGCCAGCACTTACATTCTAAATTAAGTGATTGTAGGACCTTCATATTAAACTCTCCATGGAAACAAGTTGCCTAGATGTAGTGTTCCAAATAATCTCTCAGAATCATGTTATATAATCCTAGACAGCAGAGGAGGGCTCTCTCTATGCCTCATCCTTATGCTCTCATTCAGCCATCATTGTGATTCAGCATTTCCATGATCCTATAACAGAGCTAAAAGTAGACAGGGATTAGTGAAGCAAAATAAAGCAGATGAAGCTAGTGCATTTCCTGGAAGAAAATATGCAAATTTTTAATTTAATTTAGTGTGGTGTCAAACACGTCTTTTTCATTACAAAGTGTATGTATGGGCCTCATTTTGCTAAATGCTGTTTAGAAATTATGCATTAGTAATTATAGGGTCCTGCTGATTACATAAATTGTTATCCTGCTCTTCGAAGTAATTACCACATAACCTGCATTGAGGTTTATAAGACAAAAATAAGCATCTGTTTTTCATCTAATTGAATGCTTCTCAATGAAGCTGGAGGTCTCCGTGCCAGTAGGAACTGCCTTCCTTGACATTCAATTAAGAGGTCTACTGATATTACATAAGTCACCCCAATCGTTCCAAAAAATGATTTGGGAAGTTAAGCAAAAGCACTAATCTACATTTCATTTCAAATTCAGAAAGCACAGTAAGATGGGTGAAGGTTAGCCTAATGGGGAAAATCTGAATTAAAGTAAAGCAAATGTGATTTATTACTTTCAAAAGCAGTGTTGTTAACCCAAGAAAAAATAGAACTGAGAAAAAAATAAGCAAAACTGGTTCTATTTCTATTAATAGGGAAAGGGGAAAAGCATTACTTTTATTTATACATGAATGACTGAATGACTGAATTCATTTATGTATGAATTATATATATGAATGAATTTCTATTTCTATACATATGAATATAAGTGAATGAATTTTGACCCAAAGTTACAAAGATGACTTCATTAAAAAATGAAGGTGTAGGGACCATTTTGACCAATAAGATATGGCGGAAATTATACTGTGCTTCTTCCAGAGTGTGGCCCTTAACTCACCTGGCTGCTTTCTGGCTCTTGACATACTGGTTCTTGGAACATTCCCTGAGAACACAGCCCTTGTGTTGTGAAAATCCCAAGCCACATGGGATTGTCCACTCTGGTGGACAGGAGCCTCCATGTGAATAAGGCATCCTAGATGTCCAATCCACTCAAACTTTCAGATGACTCCAGTCCAGATGTCAACTGACTGCCACCATATGACAGAATCTAAGTGACAATGACATAGCTGAGCTGAGTCAACCCTCAGAACCATGATAGATAATAATCAACTGTGGTTCTAAGTCACAAATACGTAAAAGTTTAGTAATACCAAGTGACAGTAAAAATGTGAAACCAACACTTACCCACTGTTGGTTGTAAGTTAAAATCATAATAATTACTTGAAGTATAATCCATCAATGTCACACAATTTTAAATGTATGCAAATATTCCAGTTCTAGGTTTTGACCCATCAGTAGACTCCAGTGTACACACAAGGTTTTTGATTGCAAAAATATATTTATAATAATAAACAGCTGGAGGCAGCCTAAGTACTCCAAAGTATAAATTAGCTTTAAATAATTATGGTACATTTTTACATTAAAATCTATTCAGACAGATATTTATGTGTTGAAATGGAAAGGTCTCTTAGATATACAGTTGGTAAATGAGAAAAAATATGTACAAAAGATTTTATATAGACACCTCTTTTTATTAAGAGTTATCTATTTCTACCAAGGTGAAAAAGTATGCACAGAATGCTTCTGGAAGAATATTTAAGGAACTGCTAATGGATGTACCTTAACAGAAGGGAAACTAACATGTTTTAAATTAATTGGCATCTTCTAATTTTCTTTTGTTACCATGTGCATATGTTATTTTCATAACACTACTTAGCACAAAATTCTGGTGATACTACAGGAAATTGACACAATAAAACAGGAGATTTTGTTGTTAATTAATTTTGTTGTTAATTTTGGACATGACAACTAGTCCAAAACTTTTATACACTTTGTAATTTGTATTTTTTATATTTAAATTAAAATTTTATGTATTTGAAGTATGAAACATGATGTACATGCATATACATACTGAAATGATTACAATAGTCAAACTACTTAGCGTATCATCTCTTCACAGCTTCCGTTTTGTGTGATAAGTACTCCTGAAATCTACTCTTTGCGAATTTTCAATATTCAGTAGTATTATTGACTATATTCACCATGTACCTTAGATCTCTAGACTTCTCCTTACATAACCATAACTTTGTATCCTTTGACCAGCATCTCTCCAAAATTGGGAGATTTTAATATTCCTCTCAGTCTTTTACCGATCAAGCAGGACATAATAAAATATGGTGGAAAAGGGGCGCCTGGGTGGCTTAGTCGGTTAAGCGTCCGACTTTCGAAAGCTCAGGTCACGATCTCGCGGTTCGTGGGTTCGAGCCCCGCGTCGGGCTCTGTGCTGACTGCCAGCTCAGAGCCTGGAGCCTATTTCAGAGTCTGTGACTCCCTCTCTCTCTGACCCTCCCCTGCTCACGCTGTCTCTCTCTCTCTCTCCTAGAAATAAATAAAACATTAAAAAATTAAAAAATAAAATAAAATAAAATATGGTGGAAAATACATTAATATCATAATTGATAACATGAGCCTAATAGAAAAATACTGAAATAAATATTCTTTGTCAGTGTTCTTGGTATATTTTATTAAAGGAGCTAATAATTTGTCAATACAAAGATTATCTCATTGACTTCTTACACACGCACACATTACATAGGAACTACCTTGCCATGGACAAATGCAGTAATATGTGAATTCAATAGTAAAAATATAAGCAACACTTCCTCCTCCCAACAAACAAAACAAAATACTAAATCCAGGACTTGGGGACTGAGTTCTCCATCTTTAAAAAAGTGCAGAAAATGCTTATGTAAAACTATAAGTTCAGATCATTTGAATAATAATGATGTTTCATATAAAATTGAAGAATTGGAACAGAAGCAGTAATCTGAGGCAAATTCATAGCATTAATTGCTTTCATTATCAAATAAGTAAAAACTAAAATGAATTATTTGCCTCAAAAAGTCATCATAAACACAGTAAAATAAACATATTTGGAAGTTAGAGATTATTGAACTAAAAATTAATAATGTAGAGAGCAGAAAAATAGTAATTCAATAAGTAAAAATCAAAGTACTAGCTTTTTTTGTGGGGAATAAAGGCAAAGCTGTCAAGCAAGGAAAGAGAGAAATCCATACAAACAAAACTAAATAATCAAAATAAAATTAGAGAAAAGACAGAACCACTGACATGGAAGTTATACCATAGGCAAAACTGATGCTTAAATTCTAAAGGAACACAAATACAAGTGGTATGATTAAAACCAAGGATAATTCATATGGATGATATTTTAGAAAATGTATGTATAGTAAAGCCTTGGTTTGCCAGCATAATTTGTTCTGGAAACATGCTTATAATCCAAAGCACTTATATCTCAAAGCAAATGACAAGAACCATTGGCTCAGTTGTGATCATGTGACATTGGCATCACATACTACTCATACTGCAAGACATCACTTGTTTATCAAGGTAAAATTTATTTGAAGTGTTTGCTTGTCTTGAGGAACATTTGCAGAACATGTTTCTTGCATTCCAAGGTTTTACAGTATTTTCTATACCACATTTTATATAATTTTATATTTATGTTACCAATATTTATATATACATATTGACTTTAAACCAAAAAGATTAACAAAATAGCATAATAGAACTGTAAGTAAACTAATCCCAGAGAGGGATAAACAAACAAAACTTAAGTTTATCAAAAACTACCTCTGAGAACATCAATGTCCAACAGCAAAAAAAATCCAAAATTGTTACATGAGTATACTCTTCCAGTTTTTCAGGAGATAGTTGCTCTTCTGTATAAATCTTTCAGATAATGTAAACATTTGTAAATCTTTCCAATTCCTTTTAGGTTAAAAAAATACAGCAACACTTGATTTCAAAATTGACTAAATTGGCTCACAAAACTGATAAATTTTACTTACGAATACAAATGTAAACATTTTCTTTTTTTAAATGTTTTGTTTATTTTTGAGAGTGACAGAGAGATTGTGAAAGTGGGAGAGGGGCAGAGAAAGAGGGAGACAAAGAATCCAAAGCAGAGTCCAGGTTCTGAGCTGTCAACACAGAGCCTGACACGAGGCTCGAGCTCATGAACTGTGAGATCACGACCTGAGCTGAAGTCGAATACTTAACCCACTGGGCCACCCAGGCACCCCTAAACATTTTCAATAAAGTAATGATGTAAATGCAGTAAAGCATCAGAACTATTCTAATCCTTGAAAACCAACTTTCATCCCAAAATTTCAATGTTTCAACAATTGAAAAACTAAAATAATTTATCAACTACTCTGATAAATTATGAAAGGAAATAAATGATATGATCAACTTGATGGATTATGAAAAAGATGTGTATGCTTATAAAATATTTCACTCTTCACCAACAGAACTTTCAGGTG